GAAGCTTGAGCTACACAGGCGTATGTGGAGAAACTGCTTGATAGAACATTTTTATGTATTACTGCATATCTATCTTAATTGTTTTTGTGATTTCTGCAGACACTGAAAATATTCCTGCTTTTTTATATACATGGCCTGAATATTTCTATTTCATCACTGCCTAAGTAGCTGAATGCAGTATTTTTTCTACCACACTTCTTTAAAATCATATGACATATTAGGAATCCTGTATTATTGTGTTTATAATGCTGTGGTCCAAATTTATATAAAAAATAGATTAGCTCATGCCTTTTCACAATATCCACATTGTGTTTGGTACATTAAACATTATTTAACAGTTACCTTACATTCCGTTTCAGGAATCGGAAATCAAGAAAATAACAAATTTCCAGACCTAGTTTTTTACCCATGTCAGATTAACCTTTTTATGCAAATACAAAATCTGGAGGTAGTCTCATGTGGAATTATGGCAGAACGGATAATTAGAACCAGTTGTTTAATGATCATCCACGCATGCTATATGTCGAATGTTTTTTAATCTTTTGTCTCCTTGTTAAATAACACTCCTTGATATGAGGAAAAACTCATACCATAGATTAATACTAGTTATTTAATTTTATGTTTTTTCTTCACCCCTGATCTTTGTTTTAGAACAAATGTTTAAGGTGTGGGTCCAGAGATTGTTCTAGAAGTTTCTAGAAGAAAATCATGGCATTGACATAAAAACTTGACGTTGTTCACAATTTTTTTCACAGATGTTTTAGTTATCATTTGCATGAGCTAGAAACTTCCATGTACAATTTTGGACCTGCAGCTAACTGGTGCAGATAAAATAAACATATTCTAGGGATGTTTTACAGTTTTTAGTGTGAATGTCCTACAAACTTCAGTAATTGACACTAGTCCTCTATTTGTCACCAGGAGTCCCAGTGGTCAGTCCATCACCATGTCCAGTAGGATATTACTGTCCCGAGGGTACAATAGCCGGCCAGACATACCCCTGTCCAGCTGGAGCCTATGGACCCAATGAATACCTCAGCACAATTGAAAACTGCACATCCTGTACTGCTGGCTGGTACTGTGATCAAGCGGGATTGTCTACCCCTGTTGCCAACTGCTGGGGAGGATTCTACTGTACAGGTGGTGCTGATTCCCGTTCACCTGTTGATCATCTGGTAAGGAAAATTTAAATGTGTAATGACAGACATTTTATCAAAATATTTGTCTGAACCCTAAGTTCACTGATAACTGCAGTGTAAAGTCATTATGCGAACACTTGATTCCATTTTAGAATATGTTCCAGTGTAATTTGTCTGATTATTTAAGGTGAACCAGACTCACAACGTGACCTTTACTGGAAATGACCAGTGTCCAACTGGCTACTTCTGTCCTAATGGTACTACCTACCCGCTCCCTTGTCCCCTTGGGACCTTCTCCACACGGATACAGATGAGCTCTGAGAGCGAGTGTGAGCCATGTCCAGCAGGTCGCTACTGTAACCAGGCCGCCTTTACAAAGGTCACAGAGGCACTCAACTGTAGCGCAGGGTAAGTCTTACACTCAACTGTAGCACAGGGTAAGTCTGGCTCTCAAACTGAATACAGGGTAAGTCTTACACTCAACTGTAGCGCAGGGTAAGTCTGGCTCTCGAACTGAATACAGGGTAAGTCTTACACTCAACTGTAGTGCTGGGTAAGTCTGGCTCTCAAACCGTAGTGTAGGGTGAGTCTGGCACTCAAATTGCAGAGCAGGGTAAGTCTGGCTCTCAAACTGAATACAGGATAAGTCTTACACTCAACTGTAGCACAGGGTAAGTCTTACACTCAACTGTAGTGCTGGGTAAGTCTGGCTCTCAAACTTTAGTGCAGGTAAGCCTGGCTCTCAAACTGAATACAGGTTAAGTCTTACCATCAACTGTAATGTAGGGTGAGTCTGGCTCTCAAACTGAAATACAGGGTAAGTCTTGCAATCAACTGTAGTCTAGGGTGAGTCTGGCTCTCAAACTGAAAAACAGGATAGGTCTGGCTCTCAAACTTTAGTGCAGGGTAAGTCTGGCTCTCAAACTTTAGTGCAGGTAAGCCTGGCTCTCCAACTGAAAAACAGAATAAGTCTGGCTCTCAAACTGAAATACAGGGTAAGTCTTGCAATCAACTGTAGTCTAGGGTGAGTCTGGCTCTCAAACTGGAGTGCAGGGTAAGTCTTACACTCAAATTGCAGGGCAGGGTGAGTCTGGCTCTCAAACTGGAGTGCAGGGTAAGTCTTACACTCAACTGTAGTGTAGGGGGAATCGGGCTCTCAAACTGTAGTGCTGGGTAAGTCTGGCTCTCAAACCGTAGTGTAGGGTGAGTCTGGCTCTCAAACTGAAAAACAGGATAGGTCTGGCTCTCAAACTTTAGTGCAGGGTAAGTCTGGCTCTCAAACCGTAGTGTAGGGTGAGTCTGGCACTCAAATTGCAGAGCAGGGTAAGTCTGGCTCTCAAACCGTAGTGTAGGGTGAGTCTGGCACTCAAATTGCAGAGCAGGGTAAGTCTGGCTCTCAAACTGAAATACAGGGTAAGTCTGGCACTCAACTGTAGTGTAGGGCGAATCGGGCTCTCAAACTGTAGTGCTGGGTAAGTCTGGCTCTCAAACCGTAGTGTAGGGTGAGTCTGGCACTCAAATTGCAGTGCAGGGTAAGTCTGGCTCTCAAACTGTAGTGTAGGGTGAGTCTGGCACTCAAATTGCAGTGCAGGGTAAGTCTGGCTCTCAAACTGTAGTGTAGGGCGAATCGGGCTCTCAAACTGTAGTGCAGGGTAAGTCTGGCTCTCAAACTGTAGTGTAGGGTGAATCGGGCTCTCAAACTGTAGTGCAGGGTAAGTCTGGCTCTCAAACTGAATACAGGGTAAGCCTTACACTCAAACTGTAGTGTAGGGTAAGTCTTACACTCAAATTGCAGTGCAGGGTGAGTCTGGCTCTCAAACTGTAGTGTAGGGTAAGTCTGGCACTCAAACTGTAGTGTAGGGTAAGTATTACACTCAAACTGTAGTGTAGGGTAAGTCTTACACTCAAACTGTAGTGTAGGGTAAGTCTGGCACTCAAACTCAAATACAGGGTGAATCTGGCACTCAAACTATAGTGCAGGGTAAGTCTTACACTCAGACTGAAATACAGGTTAAGTCTTGCACTCAAACTGTAACTCTATAATTCTAGGTATATCTGTACGGGAGGAGCCACACAATCTGTTCCAAATGCTACCGAGGGGTATGTTTGTCCCATGGGACACTTCTGTGTGTCCGGGGCTCTGGTAGAGGAAGGCTGTGCCATAGGAACCTATCAGCCCAGTATAGGTCAGAGTTTGTGTCTCACATGTCCCGTCAACAAGATGTGTCTCTACGCAAACATGTCCACTCCAGAGGACTGCAAAACAGGTAGGTTATTTGTAGTTAAGATTCTCTTTCAAGAAATGAAAAACTTTTCAAATTGCAAATCTGTATGATTGAAGATCTAGTAGTCAAAAAGACAAAGTTTTCAACTAAATTGGATCATATGAATCTCCAAATTGACAGGAACTACTTTTTCGAAATATTGTCGCAGAAAATTTGAAATTTTATCCAAAAATAGACTACAATTTGTTTAATACACCTCTTGGAGCTTTGCCACATTTTCATTTTAGCTTGTTTTTGGCTTTTTGAAATCTGATTAGGAATGCAAAATAAAATTTCCCATTTAAAATGAACCACATAATAATGAGCAGGAAAATCTTTGGTCTATCTGCTACTGTTGCTTAAAATTGTATGTACCTTCATTTTCAGGTCATAACTGAGTTTACAATACCAACATTTAGTTACTATTATGTGTTTGCTTACAGGTTACTACTGTGAGGCAGCTACACCCCCTATTCCATGTCCAGCGGGTACCTACAACAACCTGACAGGAATGGGCCAACTGTCCGACTGTGTCGACTGTCCTGTCGGCAAGTACTGTCTCGCTCTCGGAAACAGTGTTCCAACAGGTCAGTATAGCTGTCGTCAATGCCGTCTCTTTACATCTCTTTAAATGAAGGAAGTTGTGGTGTGTAAATATTGTCCCTTTATCCTTCTAATATAATCTTCTGTAAGTTTTAAACCCTAAAAGATATCTTAATGAAACTCAACATTTATCTGCATCGTCCGTTCAGTACCTTGTGATTAGGTCACCATGACCTTCATATTTTATGTTAAACTTGTAATATCTTGTCCAGGCCATATTTTTAAACTGTAAGGAATATGTTGATGGAACTTGAAGTGTACCTGCATCATGCACTAAAAGTGTGCGGTGCACAGTAAATAGGGCACTATGACCTTGACTTCAATGTCAAAGGTCAGCTAAGACAAAGTGGAAAAGGTTCAATGACATTTTGTTTGGGCTTTAAATTTAAACCATTTAAGATCTTATTATGAAACTTGAATGACACCTGCATCATCTACAGAAAGTGTGGAGTGGTCTATATTTGGGTCGCCATGATCTTCATATGTTTAACAAGTTATCATTGTCACATCTAACGGGCAATTTCTGTCTATTATTCAAGGACTGTTATGTGATCATGTTTAATATTTGAAAGTTGTTTTTTTCCTCTTTAAATGTTTATTCATATTTTATGGAGAGATAGGGCGAAAGAGTTCCCCCGACAACTGGAGTTGTCTCCCTTATTTCTTGCGATGTAACATATAAAGCCATGTAGTCCGTGCTAACCGAGACTTTCCTGTTGTCTGTCCAGGTGACTGTGATGCAGGCTTCTACTGCCAGGGGGGTGCCTTTGACAGGTATGCCAATGCTTCTACAGAATACCCACTCAGTGGACTGTGTCCAGTTGGTCACTACTGTCCAGCAGGAACAGCCCTACAGGTGCCCTGTCCAGCAGGAACGATCCGCAACTTCACAGGTAGGATACACTAATGTTTGATCAGGCTTAAGCACTGTGGAGTTTCTAGGTAATATGAATCGTGATATATTTTATGTATGTAAAACAAATTCTAAATTATATTCATTTAACAAGATTTAATGAGTTACAGATAAAAAAAAAAAATTTGCAAGATTTCGTGAGTCTAATATATAAAATATTAGTGAGCTATAAATAGTTTAGTGAACTTGAAATGTTTGAGTAACTTAACAATATATGCAGTATTATTGTATTTTTTTAAGTAGAGACATGTTACAGTTTGAAAGCATATACATACACTTTTGTATAAATAATATACAGGAACATGTAAATCAATAATTTAAATTCCTGATTTAATTTTAGGTGCTGCAAGTGCCGATGATTGTCTCCCTTGTACGGGTGGTTACTACTGTGCCAATCCAGGTCAGACAGAAGCCACAACAAAGTGTTCAGCTGGTTACTACTGCCCCGCCAACGACTCCACAGTTCAGGCATCTCCCACCGAATTCACCTGTCCAGCTGGTTACTACTGCCTCGAGGGGTCTGTGGACCCCACTCCTTGTCCAGGCGGCCAATACCAGGACAACGTTGGTCAGTCCACCTGTGTCGACTGTCCCGAGGGTTACTACTGTGTGGGGTCACTCAACCCAGAGAAGAAGGTCTGCGAGCCTTACAGCTTCTGTCCAGCTGGTAGGTGGTCTTGTACAAGTGTTTGGGAGTCATTCATTTTATACCGAGAAGGTTTGGTGTAACTAATTTTCAGGTCTTCATTGTATAATGATCTATTGTCAAATCTTCAAACTGAGCTGTGACATCTGTAAACATCAATTCTTACTTCTTTTAGTCAATAGAGGCTAGCAATCTTATTAATTACATGTTACGGAAACAGATCATTGATCTGTTATTTTGGGGCCGCTGTGGCCGAGTGGTTAAGGTGTCAGACCACTAATCTGCCACCACTGGGTCGTGGGATTGAGCCCTAGGCGGGCCGAACGCCAGGTACTGGAAATTTTAAAGATTCAATAACTTTGGTAAAAAAAAACCAATTGTTGTTCAAATTTGATTTAGCATTTTAAGTAAGGATTTTAGCATTTTAAGTAAGGATTTGATAATTGCAATGATTTTGATAATCTGTTCACAGGAAGTCAATATCCTACACCGTGTGAAAATGGAACGTTTACATACCCCAACATGACTGGACTGAGAACACAGGCTGACTGTCTACCCTGTGTGGCTGGTAACTACTGCAGGTACGTCACCTCTATACCCACCACAACAGCATACAGCATGACAGCTCACACTCCATTATAAATGTGGAGGAACAAGTTTGTGCATTATTCAAAAGTAGAAATGTAACAGAATTCAAATTCATGATATTGTGTTTCAAATTTGTAGAAATCTTTTCGTCATTTTGAATACAGTGGAAGTGGCTTCAAAAGGAACAACTTCTTTTTTTGGTGATAATTAGTAGCTGACAACCATTTTGATATAGTCAGGAGGGTATTTCCTACAGGCACAACCCCTTTGGATGAATATCACAATAGATGTCAGTTAAGTGTTATTTTGTATTATTTTTCTAGAAATGGCCAGTTGTATGAAGCCTGTGCCTCAGGATATTTCTGTAAATCGGGCTCCAAGGACGACATGCCAACTGTCGTAACAAACTTCACCTGTAGCGCCAATGATGAGTGTGCCGGTCTGTGTCCGAGTGGCTACTACTGTCCAGTTGGAATCGAAGAACCAATACCATGTCCTAAAGACACTTACCGCGGCCATCCAGGGGGAGCAGCTGTGTCCGACTGTGACAAATGTCCAGCAGGATTCCTGTGTAACGAAGGTAAATACCAACAAACGACAATTCTCATATTATAACTTTATTTTCAAGAAATGTTTGTGTTCCCCTGAAGACTCCTTCACAAATTCTCACATGAATATGATCTGATGTCGGAGGTGGCCTGTATTTTGACGTTCCCTGACTGAAACATATTAAGATAACATTTTCTTAAAAATATTTTTAAACAAATTTAAAACATTCAACCAATATTGATTGAAACATTCAGACAGAGTGCTTATTGTTGTTTAGGTACCTCCGTCCCTGTGGAATGCCCAGCAGGATACTACTGTCCCGAAGGAAACAAGACTGAGCCCTGTCCTTACCTGACATTCCGTAACAACACAGGAGCAGCCGTTGTCACTGACTGCTACCCATGTCCGGCAGGATACTTCTGTAACCAAACAGGTATAGTACTTATACTCATTTACTTTTTACTCATTCCTTCTATTTCATTCACTCACTTGATTTTTTTCCACTCATTCACTCAATCATTCACTCACTCATTCACTCACTCATTCTCTCTTTCATTCACTCATTCATTCACTCATTCTCTCTCTCTCATTCTTCAACTTATTCTCCTATTCACCCATGAATTATTTGTTCCATTCATTCATCCTCTTATATCTTTTCACTAATAAAATTAACATAAATTCATTCCCTCACATCTTGATGTTCATTCATTCCCTAACTGAGTCATGCACTCGTTCATTCATTCCCTAACTGAGTCATGTACTCGTTCATTCATTCCCTAACTGAGACATGCACTCGTTCATTCATTCCCTAACTGAGTCATGCACTCGTTCATTCATTCCCTAACTGAGTCATGTACTCGTTCATTCATTCCCTAACTGAGACATGCACTCGTTCATTCATTCCCTAACTGAGTCATGCACTCGTTCATTCATTCCCTAACTGAGTCATGCACTCGTTCATTCATTCCCTAACTGAGTCATGCACTCGTTCATTCATTCCCTAACTGAGTCATGCACTCGTTCATTCATTCCCTAACTGAGTCATGCACTCGTTCATTCATTCCCTAACTGAGTCATGCACTCGTTCATTCATTCCCTAACTGAGACATGCACTCGTTCATTCATTCCCTAAATGAGTCATGCACTCGTTCATTCATTCCCTAACTGAGTCATGCACTCGTTCATTCATTCCCTAACTGAGTCATGCACTCGTTCATTCATTCCCTAACTGAGTCGTGCACTCGTTCATTCATTCCCTAACTGAGTCGTGCACTCGTTCATTCATTCCCTAACTGAGTCGTGCACTCATTCATTTATTTCATCCACTCATACACTCTTACTCTTCCTTTCAGTAAGTTTTTGGCAACATTTGGCAGACATGCTGTTCACAATGTTTCCTCTACTTGAACTGCTGGTATTGACCAATAACTTGTGAGACTCATCATTTTCTCATACAACATCATAGATCTGTATGTTATGACTGGACAGTGCATTTAAAATAACTCAGGTCAAAGGTCACTATTATGTTTATTCTTATCATAAGCCATGAATGATTTAATATGTTCTTTTGCTTTTAACCCTTGATTTTGTTAATAAAGCCTTGCCTGTATCTCTACTGTTAGGATCAAGGCGACAACCATTGATTATTCTTATATTCTAAAATGCGTATATTGATGAACCCTCAGTATGACTGTATCATTACCATTGTCATCCATTGTTGTGACTTACTGTTATTACTGTGACTTGATGCTACAGGTATGGCAGATTACATAGACTACCCCTGTATGGAGGGACACTATTGTCTGGAAGGCATGGAGCCTTCCCTCTGTCCAGCTGGAAGGATGCAGAATGGCACAGGAGCTGCAGCCTACACCGACTGTGAACTGTGTCAACCTGGGTACTACTGTCCAAATGATACTATCAACACACAAGGGATCCCTTGTAACGCCAAGTATGAGTGTCCAGAAGGATCGTCCTTGGAGGATATTTGCAGACCAGGACACTACTGTGACGCTGTTACTGGCACTCCACCTGTCTGTCCCCCTGGTTACTACTGTTACTATGGCACAGATGTACCAACACAGTGTTTCTTCCCCGATTACTGCCCCGAAGGTAGTAACATGACTCTGAACTGTGACCTCGGTTACCGAGCCTTGACTCACTCAGGCGTCAGATATGATAATGCTCTATCATGCGAGATCTGTCCGCCAGGAACCTACAGCAACCAAACTGACCGAGCCCAGTGCTTGCTGTGTCCTCCTGGTTACTGGTGTCCTCAAGGTACGGGTCACGGGGATAGCAATGCCTGTACGGAAGGCTACTACTGCCCTGAGGGATCCTCGGCACAAACTCCATGTCCAGTAGGGACCTATGGTACCACAGTAAAGGCTAGTAGCTCAGCAAGTTGTATCGCATGTCCATCAGGCTCTTTCAGCGATGTGGCGGCCTCTCAGCAATGTAAACTGTGTGGTAGTAATGCTTACTCAAATAATGACCGATCATCCTGTACCTGTCGCGGCAGATACCGTGAATTCCAGGAGTCTACCGGATTCTGTGTGTGTTACCCTGGCTTCATGTACTACGATGAGATAAACACACAGCAGTATGAAGGCGACAGTGACACTGACTGCCAGAGGATCTCCGACGAAATCTGTGCTCAATCTGAAACGAGGAACAGTTTAACTCGCCTGTGTGTGACTGTCACAAGTGTCGACTGTACATCTACATGTGACGCATCCGGTACTGGACCATCCTTCTTCAATTCTGAACTTGGCATGTAAGTTCACAATCTTGCTTACTTATTAACAAAGTCTAATTAAAATGTCCTTTAAGTCTGATACTTTTATGATGTGAGATCTTTCTCATTAGATATCAATATGGTGAACTTAATACTAAGTAAACCTAAATCCTGAACTACTTAAAAACATATTACATGTATCAGCTTTATTATTGAGACTTTGACCTTGAGTAGATCTGGGACGTAGAATGTTTTAGAGCCACAGACAACTTGAATTCGACATAAATTGTAAGCTTCGTTATTAAGGACTGTGACAGTTTCTATTTCATATCTTGTCATGTGTATGTGAAGCACATTTTTAGCTCACAAAAAAAACAACTCATTTATTATGGGGTTGTTGTTTACAGTTTTGGTGAAAGCGTTAAATTCATAAATATAATCTGAACCTCTAATGAACATTCCAATTATCAGTGATGCAGCGTATTGAAAATAGAATATAAAGCTATGAGTTAGAGTTTTGGTGCCTGTGTTGATCAGTCATTTGACTTCAGTATTTGCACTGGAATGCTGATACTTGTAATATCTATTGTTGTCTAGATGCCAGTGTACGACTTACCAGGATCCCGACAATATCTGTAACAGTGTTTGTCGTGCTACTACAATGCCACAGATCACTACAGAGGTGTCCACTACTACCGGACAGATCAGTGTAGTAACCACCGACCCCGTCACGGGCATCGCCTCCGCACAGGTCAGTCACAAGGTCAAACGCACAAACTATAAATAGGAAAATTAAACGAAAACAATATAAACTTATTTATTTCTCAACAATTATGGAACAAGTTATTTCAACTTATAGTAATCACTCTAGTTGGCCCAGATGTAAGCGTACGGGGGTCTTATTGTAGGAGGAGTAAACCGACATGGTCGGGCAGGTGACCAAATACCTTTTCATGTCTGTTCTGGGAATCAAACCCTGGCTGCCTTGGTGAAGGCAAGTACGCTTTCGACTGTGTCACCTGATCACCTACAATTAAGTTAAAGTCTGTTTATTGCATCACATTAACATAATATGTATATATTTATAGTCCGTATGGACCTGTAACACACTTTAAAACTCAGGTTTCAAAGAGAGGCAGAGGACCAGATTATTCCACCATTGAAGAAACCATGGCGTTGGGGAACTAACTTAAACCTTAGTTCACTTCAAACTTTTTATTTATAGGTTCTGACTGATACCCTTGGTCCCGTCTCTGGTACTGTTGGGGCTAAAAACTCGTACATGATCAACTTCTGGGATATTGGTGTAACAGCGTCTGTGTTTGCTAGTTCTTCTGATTCGGCTGCTGCTATAGGGGGTAAGTGACTCCACTTTATCAGCATAAAATGGATATATTGGCCTGTCTAAATTTATTTAGTTTTTTATCAGTAAAAAAGGTGAATGATAGAGGCCCTCTCAGCCTCTTGTATTTTTTACACCTGATTAGAGTTTGGTGTCATGGGTCAAGGTTAAAAGTCTTGTCACTCAGTGGAAATAGGGGGTATATATGTGAATACCTGCTCACTTTGTTTTTTTGTTTCAGTATCACTGCCAACACTTGGAAGTGGTTCAGGACGACGACGACGACGACTCTTAGCCACCACTGTACCCTCAAACCAGATCTTCAATCCTGCTATGTGTCTTCAGCTGGACGAAATGGTTGTATTTAACAATTGGCTCAACACAACAGATCGAACCAAGAGTCACTACCCGGTCTACCTTCCCAACAGTCTCTTCTCCTCCAATGCTAACTTTGATTACGGAGCATTCACCGAGCTCAAGACAAAGATTGAAACAACCACGCTGGTCATCAACTCCTTCCTGCATGTGTTCACCGAGGCTGGCTCCTTTGTGTTCCAAGACGCACAAGATGTCAACAGGTACCATCTTCAGTTTTATAAAACAAATTAAATATGAGTGTTACACTTTGGTGTCCACCCTCTGATGACAGTGTTAGAGGTATTCAATGATGTCCACAAGGGCTGATGACAAGCTAGTTGTTGTTGGTATTCACACGATCTTGCTACAGAGGATGCTGTTGTTGATGACAGATTGAGAGCTTGCTGTTTTTTTGTTTCCACAGTTTGGTTTACATCAGTGTCATGCCTGCAGGGACAACATGCGATGCGTCCACCTCCCGCGTAGTTAGTGCCACAGCAGCCAATTTAGCCGCGCTTGGCTTCTACAAGAATGAACCTGACAACTTGGCTCCAGACTGGGGACTCATCAAAGGTGGGTGGCTATGGTGCTAACAGTAAGCCTTATCTCTTCACCTTTGATTTTTAAGGATCAAGTATTTCTTAATAATATGTATTATTTACATTATTTTGTTGAGACAGTAGGTGTGATGGCGTCATTGGCCATCCTATATTTTGCCTTATTAATATTTATGTCACATTTGTCCGTAAGATTATGTTGTACATCTATCTAACTCTTGTGCAGGAATGATTGTGTTCTTCGCCATCCTTGTGTTGCTGTTGGTCGTGGCCGTCATTGTGTGGCGCCCGAGGGAGGCAGGTATCTATCCCATGAAGCATTGGAAGCCTGCCTACCGCAGTCTCGGAGAGCCACCTCCGGTACCACTGTTTATGAGATACGACTCGGACCATTGGCCGCACAAAGAAGGAATGTAAGGATTAAGTGTTATCAGCAAATTATTGAACATTCAATTATTCACGTATTATAAATATGTATATCCTTCTGCATATGTGTTCTGTACATTAAAAATTCTTCTCTTCAAAACTGTTTTGCTAAAATGTTCAGTATACTTCATTTCTAACTGAAATAAAAAAAAACATATTTTTGCTTGATGATAGTCGGTCATAATACATTGTCTGTGTACAGGGAAACTGGTGCTGTAGAGATGAGGAGTTCAGGTGATGGAGCAGAAACCAATGTTCTCGTTTCCATGGGTACGTATATCTATTACTATCATTTTCAATGTTGCAAATGTTCCTCCTCTTTTTGTTAATATATGAAAGAATAAACCTTTAATAAAAACTGCTGTCTTATAATACAACTGTCATAAAACTAGAAAATGTTACAACATCAGATTTCATTTCTAAAATTTAAGATAACCTTAATGTTTCTGAAATATATGGAATGTTTCATTACAGGAGTTAAGGGAGAGGAGGACTTGGAGAATTTCAATGTCAGAGTTTTCTATGACAAACTGGAAGATCAAAACCTTCACCTTGCCTCACAGTTGGCACGGCAACAAGAAGACCTTCGTAGCTTCTACGAGAAAATATGTGCACAAAATGAGGAACTCAAGAACCTTCTCCAAAACATGGATCCTGCTCAGCTGGAGGCTTTAGAGGCGAGAATGGCAGCGCGTGGCCAGCAGGCTGGTCTGGTGGGTGCCGGGAATAACATTAACATAGCTGCCATTACGGCTGGAGGTCAAAACAAATACAAATTTGCAGGTAATGTGTCGTTATTTGCTTGTTAGCACTTTCATCTCTAACACAATTTTGAACACCTTGTAGACATAGTATGCCGAAGGCTTCTTTGCACCTATTGCGAGCAACTATTTTTGATACTTTTGAGAACATTTCAAGGAATTTCAAATATTCTACCAAACAATAACACATAAAACTGAATGAAAATTTATGGTAACATTACAACCATAACATGTCAACAGTGAAGAGTAGATCAGTCCTCCATAAATTATATGAATTTATTCCAAAATTACTTAGTGTGCATGTAAGCACATTCATTTATTATTTTGTATTAATTTATATGCAGAATTCAAAGTTTTTAATTTGAATGTCAAATAGATCAGTTGTAATAAAGCGTAGTTGTACTGACAATGGCCAGTTGTAATAAAGCGTAGTTGTACTGACAATGACCAGTTGTAATAAAGGGTAGGTGTACTGACAATGACCAGTTGTAATAAAGTGTAGTTGTACTGACAATGACCAGTTGTAATAAAGCGTAGGTGTACTGACAATGACAAGTTGTAATAAAGTGTAGGTGTACTGACAATGACCAGTTGTAATAAAGCGTAGGTGTACTCATAATGACCAGTTGTAATAAAGCGTAGTTGTACTGACAATGACCAGTTGTAATAAAGCGTAGGTGTACTGACAATGACCAGTTGTAATAAAGCGTAGGTGTACTGACAATGACCAGTTGTAATAAAGCGTAGGTGTACTGACAATGACCAGTTGTAATAAAGCGTAGGTGTACTGACAATGACCAGTTGTAATAAAGCGTAGGTGTACTGACAATGACCAGTTGTAATAAAGCGTAGGTGTACTGACAATGACCAGTTGTAATAAAGCGTAGGTGTACTGACAATGACCAGTTGTAATAAAGCGTAGGTGTACTGACAATGACCAGTTGTAATAAAGCGTAGGTGTACTGACAATGACCAGTTGTAATAAAGCGTAGGTGTACTGACAATGACCAGTTGTAATAAAGCGTAGGTGTACTGACAATGACCAGTTGTAATAAAGCGTAGGTGTACTGACAATGACCAGTTGTAATAAAGCGTAGGTGTACTGACAATGACCAGTTGTAATAAAGCGTAGGTGTACTGACAATGACCAGTTGTAATAAAGCGTAGGTGTACTGACAATGACCAGTTGTAATAAAGTGTAGGTGTACTCATAATGACCAGTTGTAATAAAGCGTAGGTGTACTGACAATGACCAGTTGTAATAAAGTGTAGGTGTACTGACAATGACCAGTTGTAATAAAGCGTATGTGTACTCACAATGACCAGTTGTAATAAAGTGTAGTTGTACTCACAATGACCGGTTGTAATAAAGCGTAGGTGTACTCACAATGACCAGTTCTAATAAAGTGTAGGTGTACTCATAATGACCAGTTGTAATAAAGCGTAGGTGTACTCACAATGACCAGTTGTAATAAAGTGTAGTTGTACTCACAATGACCAGTTGTAATAAAGCGTAGGTGTACTCACAATGACAGGTGGAAGTAACCGTGAATCTGAGCTCATGGCTGCCCTACAAGTCTTGCTGGACAAGTTAAACACGGGCAACCTTCCCATCAACCAACAGAGCTGGGACCAGCTTCAGAAGGGAGGAACTGCCACTACTGGTGGCACCATGTATACCACCAACATAGACGTAGGGGGCTTCACAGGTGGCACAGGCAAACAGGTAGGTACACAATCTATACCACCAACATAGACATAGGGGGCGGAACAGGCAAACAGGTACGGTACACCATGTATACCACCAACATAGTCATAGGGGGCTTAACAGTCAGAAAGCCAAACAGATAGGTACACAATGTATACCACCAACATAGACGTAGGGGGCTTCACAGGTGGCACAGGCAAACAGGTAGGTACACAATCTATACCACCAACATAGGCATAGGGGGCTTCACAGGTGGAACAGGCAAACAGGTAGGTACACAATGTATACCCCCAACATAGACATAGGGGACCTCACAGGTGGAACAGACAAACAGGTAGGTACACAATGTATACCACCAACATAGACATAGGGGACCTCACAGGTGGAACAGACAAACAGGTAGGTACACCATGTATACCACCAACATAGACATAGGGGGCTTAACAGTCAGAAAGGCAAACAGGTACGGTACACAATGTATACCACCAACATAGACATAGGGGACCTCACAGGTGGAACAGACAAACAGGTAGGTACACAATGTATACCACCCACATAGACATAGGGGGCTTAACAGGCGGAACAGGCAAACAGGTACGGTACCCCATGTATACCACCAACATAGACATAGGGGGCTTCAAAGGTGGAACAGGCAAACAGGTAGGTACACAATGTATACCACCAACATAGACATATGGGGCTTAACAGTTAGGAAGGCAAACAGGTAGGTACACAATGTATACCACCAACATAGACGTAGGGGGCCTCACAGGTGGAACAGGCAAGCAGGTAGGTACACAATGTATACCACCAACATAGACGTAGGGGGCTTAACAGACAGAACAGGCAAACAGGTACGGTACACAGTCTATACTACCAACATAGACGTAGGGGGCCTCACAGGTGGAACAGGCAAGCAGGTAGGTACACAATGTATACCACCAACATAGACGTAGGGGGCCTCACAGGTGGAACAGGCAAGCAGGTAGGTACACAATGTATACCACCAACATAGACATATGGGGCTTAACAGTTAGGAAGGCAAACAGGTAGGTACACAATGTATACCACCAACATAGACATAGGGGACCTCACAGGTGGAACAGACAAACAGGAAGGTACACCATGTATACCACCAACATAGACATAGGCGGCTTAACAGTCAGAAAGCCAAACAGGTAGGTACACAATGTATACCACCAACATAGACATAGGGGCCTTAACAGTCAGAAAGGCAAACAGGTAGGTACACAATGTATACCACCAACATAGACATATGGGGCTTAACAGTTAGGAAGGCAAACAGGTAGGTACACAATGTATACCACCAACATAGACATAGGGGGCTTAACAGGTGGAACAGGCAAACAGGTACGGTACACAGTCTATACTACCAACATAGACGTAGGGGGCCTCACAGGTGGAACAGGCAAACAGGTACGGTACACAGTCTATACCACCGACGTAGACGTAGGGGGCCTCACAGGTGGAACAGGCAAACAGGTACGGTACACCATGGATACCACCAACATAGACGTAGGGGGCCTCACAGGTGGAACAGGCAAACAGGTAGGGACACAATGTATACCACCAACATAGACATAGGGGCCTTAACAGTCAGAAAGGCAAACAGGTAGGTACACAATGTATACCACCAACATAGACGTAGGGGGCCTCACAGGTGGAACAGGCAAGCAGGTAGGTACACAATGTATACCACCAACATAGACGTAGGGGGCCTCACAGGGGGAACAGGCAAACAGGTACGGTACACCATGTATACCACCAACATAGACATAGGGGGCTTCACAGTCAGAACAGGCAAACAGGTACGGTACACAGTCTATACTACCAACATAGACGTAGGGGGCCTCACAGGTGGAACAGGCAAACAGGTAGGGACACAATGTATACCACCAACATAGACGTAGGGGGCTTAACAGTCAGAACAGGCAAACAGGTACGGTACACAGTCTATACCACCAACATAGACGTAGGGGGCCTCACAGGTGGAACAGGCAAACAGGTAGGTACACAATGTATACCACCAACATAGACATAGGGGGCTTCACAGGTGGAACAGGCAAACAGGTACGGTACACAGTCTATACCACCAACATAGACATAGGGGGCCTCACAGGTAGAACAGGCAAACAGGTAGGTACACCATGTATACCACCAACATAGACGTAGGGGGCCTCACAGGTTGAACAGACAAACAGGTAGGTACACAATGTATACCACCAACATAGACGTAGAGGGCCTCACAGGTGGAACAGGCAAACAGGTACGGTACACAGTCTATACCACCAACATAGCCATAGGGGGCCTCACAGGTAGAACAGGCAAACAGGTAGGGACATAATGTATACCACCAACATAGACATAGGGGGCTTAACAGTCAGAAAGCCAAACAGGTAGGTACACAATGTATACCACCAACATAGACGTAGGGGGCCTCACAGGTGGAACAGGCAAACAGGTAGGTACACAATGTATACCACCAACATAGACGTAGAGGGCCTCACAGGTGGAACAGGCAAACAGGTATGGTACACCATGTATACCACCAACATAAACGTAGGGGGCTTAACAGTCAGAACAGGCAAACAGGTAGGTACACAATCTATACCACCAACATAGACATAGGGGGCTTCACAGTCAGAACAGGCAAACAGGTAGGTACACAATGTATACCAGCCCTATCAAAATAGGGGTTTTAACTGGGTTGCAAGTTATGTACTGGGGCTCCAAGAGTTACATATAAGGAGGACTAAATAGCACCCATATAGAGAAAGAGAGCTCCAATTGAGCACTTCAACAGATAACTGTTACTAATACATGTCTTACTATCATTTCAGGCCGAGTTGCTACGGAGACAGAATGGTGAGCGCTTACAGTTGGAGCGTGACCTTGACCAAGAGGAGAGAGATGCGATCAGCAAACTTTTGTCTTCAGAGGAAGATAAACGCAAAGACACAGTAGACCACCAGCTGGGAGGACTGGTCAACCGTCTCCATGGTAATGTAGATTTAAGATGTGTATTATATCTGACACTGACTAACGTTTGTGTTTTAAAGTGTATTGATAACGTACTATTTTATGGGAGATAATTGACTTTTTTATGCACCACCAGGATCCCAATGTCTTTGCCAAAATCACTTCATGTATTACTATTTATAGGTCAATCATAGGGCCAAGGGGGCATGCGTGTCTTACAGGATTTTACTATTTATAATCTGGTACTGTTTAAAATATTGATTATCTCGCCCTCCAGAGTTGCTAAAAGTGTTGGAAAATGACTAAATTCTCTACATGGAAACCACTTTGTGATTTTTTTTTAATTGTTTATATTTCATCATCTAAAATCTGGTTTTATTAGGTCACCTGAGCTTTGCTCAAGTGACCTATTCCAATCGCTTTTCGTCCCTCGTCGTCCGTCGTCCGTCGTCCGTCGTGCGTCGTGCGTAAACTTTTACATTTTCAACTTCTTCTCAAGAACCAGTGGATGGATTTTTTTCAAACTTGGTCAGAATCATCCTTGGTAGATGAGGCTTCAAAATTGTAAAATTGGGATTCCTACCCCAACCCCTGGGGCCAGGGCGGGGCCCCAAAGGGAAAATTAATCAATATTTCAAAAATCTTCTTCTCCAGACTCAGAGGTACTACAGTGATTTTCTTTACGTGGAAAGAAAGATCATCAGGGGCTTTATTTAAATTGAAAATATCAGGACCCCGAGCTATCCGTTCTCCCTTGGGGAGGGGTTAACGTTTAATATAGTTTATATAGGGAAATAACACTTTTCGGTATATATTTTATATATTTTCAGCAGAAAATTGCTCAAACTTAGTCAGAATCATCTTGGGTAAATGAGAGTTTTACTTTGTAAAATTAGGATTCCTGCCCCATCCCCAGGGGCTAGGGCGGGGCCCCAAAGGGAACATTTACCAATATTTTCAAATTCTTATCCATTGATGACATGACAAGTATTGTATTTCACTTAGTTTACATGCTGATTTCCACATCACATCTAAACAATAAAATAAAGCTACCAGTATCTATGATATAACTCAGGTGACCGCTAAGGCCCTTGGGCCTCTTGTTGTTCTAACTGTAATTGAGAAACCTAAAAATACACGATATGTATCTGGTTAACCTATGAATTGTTGTATTCTACAAAAAATGAAATATAACAACAAACATGAAAAAAAAAGAATTTCAGCTGTCCTGTGTAATCCTTTATCTACAGGTAAAAAAAAACTTTACCTTGTTCTCTATTTACAGGTGACATGAATGAGAAACAGGTGAAAGATATTCTCTCTAACTACGAGAAAGATTACGAGAGCAGCATGAACAAACACATGACAGACAAGGAACGACAAGCCTACGATCTCCGACGTAGACTGGAGGAAAAACGAAGGAGGAAAGAAGCCCAACTCAGGGACAAACATACTAAGGAGGCGGATGAAAATGGACTTCCGTCACCAGTCGAAGGCGATGCTGGTCACGCCGGGAAGAAACTGCGCCGCTGGGAGGCGCTTCTCAATACTCTGCAGGCAGAGAAGGCTGCTGGCTCAGCCAAGTCCGAAACTGATCTTGACATCAGTCTCAATGAGGAGGAACGCAAACAGATGGACAACAAGCTCCAGGAGGAACTGGTGGGTACCACATTACATCTATGTAGTCTGTTAAAAATAGTGAAAATAGAGAGTGGTTTATGGTCCTCTAGGCTCAGAAAAAAACCACTTCCTACTAATGTAAACTTTGCATCAGGAGATCTAAAGATGGTTCAGAGGAATTACAAAAAAAACAATGTGCTGCATTCCTTTAAGGTTCTTTGGGAGGCATTTATCTTACAATTTTGTTGTTTTACAGACCAGGATGACGCAGGACGGAATCCTGTCGGCGAAGCAACAGGAGGAGCTTCTCAGGAACCACATGGAAAATGAGAAGAACCTTGCTCGTCACCATGACAATCAACGCAAACAACAAATTTCAGCCCTGCAGGACAGGATCGCTGAACGACGCAAGAAGAGGTTTGGCAAGCTGCAGGATCAGCATGAAGCCGAGCTCAGTGAGGTAAGATAACTTAGTGTACAGGACGAGTGAGATAAGATAACTTAGTGTACAGGACGAGTGAGATAAGATTACTTAGTGTACAGGACGAGTGAGGTAAGATTACTTAGTGTACAGGACGAGTGAGATAAGATTACTTAGTGTACAGGACGAGTGAGATAAGATTACTTAGTGTACAGGACGAGTGAGATAAGATTACTTAGTGTACAGGACGAGTGAGATAAGATTACTTAGTGTACAGGACGAGTGAGATAAGATTACTTAGTGTACAGGACGAGTGAGATAAGATTACTTAGTGTACAGGACGAGTGAGATAAGATTACTTAGTGTACAGGACGAGTGAGATAAGATTACTTAGTGTACAGGACGAGTGAGATAAGATTACTTAGTGTACAGGACGAGTGAGATAAGATTACTTAGTGTACAGGACGAGTGAGATAAGATTACTTAGTGTACAGGACGAGTGAGATAAGATTACTTAGTGTACAGGACGAGTGAGATAAGATTACTTAGTGTACAGGACGAGTGAGATAAGATTACTTAGTGTACAGGACGAGTGAGATAAGATTACTTAGTGTACAGGACGAGTGAGATAAGATTACTTAGTGTACAGGACGAGTGAGATAAGATTACTTAGTGTACAGGACGAGTGAGATAAGATTACTTAGTGTACAGGACGAGTGAGATAAGATTACTTAGTGTACAGGACGAGTGAGATAAGATTACTTAGTGTACAGGACGAGTGAGATAAGATTACTTAGTGTACAGGACGAGTGAGATAAGATTACTTAGTGTACAGGACGAGTGAGATAAGATTACTTAGTGTACAGGACGAGTGAGATAAGATTACTTAGTGTACAGGACGAGTGAGATAAGATTACTTAGTGTACAGGACGAGTGAGATAAGATTACTTAGTGTACAGGACGAGTGAGATAAGATTACTTAGTGTACAGGACGAGTGAGATAAGATTACTTAGTGTACAGGACGAGTGAGATAAGATTACTTAGTGTACAGGACGAGTGAGATAAGATTACTTAGTGTACAGGATGAGTGGGATAAGATTACTTAGTGTACAGGACGAGTGAGATAAGATTACTTAGTGTACAGGGCGAGTGAGGTAAGATTACTTAGTGTATTGTTTGTACACAGCGAAGATTGCCTTATAGTGACATTTGTCTGTCTCGGATTCTCTAGTCATCGATATATTGTTCAGATATTTATTGATAATGAAAGCAAATTTTGCTATCAGTATATATTTTTCAAAATGCTTCAAATAACTTACATTTTCATTTGAGATCAGATAATAAATATTAAACCCAAAATAATATTTTTAGTTAAAAATTCTGAAAATACTTATAACATTAAAAAATAATCAAATGAAGTTTGGGTTCAGGTATTTTTTCATAAAATGATTGTGACTTATCATTGACATCGGTTTCTGTATTTGTAGTTATCTGCAAAACTTATAGAGCAAGGTCAGACTGACGACCTTGAGAGGGAGTTGGAGTACCTCAAGCAGCTACATCTGCAGGAATCCGAGGCTGCTGAGGCAGAGCTGGATGCTGAAGAGAAGGAGCATATCCACCGCATCAACAAAAACCTGGAAGAGGAACATACACAAGGAACCAAGCAAAAACACCGGGACTTACTCAAACAGGTAAATGTAGACAGTAAAACAGAAACACACAGACTTACTCAAACAGGTAAATGGAGACTGTAAAACAGAAACACACAGACTTACTCAAACAGGTAAATGTAGACCTTAAAACAGAAACACCGGGACTTACTCAAACAGGTAAATGTAGACTGTAAACCAGAAACACACAGACTTACTCAAACAGGTAAATGTAGACTGTAGAACAGAAACACACAGACTTACTCAAACAGGTAAATGGAGACTGTAAAACAGAAACACACAGACTTACTCAAACAGGTAAATGTAGACGGTAAAACAGGGCTAGCAAATCAGCAGTTCACTCAAAACACTCAGACTTACTCAAACAGGTAAATGTAGACTGTAGAACAGAAACACACAGACTTACTCAAACAGGTAAATGGAGACTGTAAAACAGAAACACACAGACTTACTCAAACAGGTAAATGTAGACGGTAAAACAGGGCTAGCAAATCAGCAGTTCACTCAAAATACACAGACTTACTCAAACAGGTAAACGTTGACTGTAAAACAGAAACACCGGGACTTACTCAAACAGGTAAACGTAGACTGTAAAACAGGGCTAGCAAATCAGCAGGTCACTCAAAGCACACAGACTTACTCAAACAGGTAAACGTTGACTGTTAAACAGGGCTAGCGAATCAGCAGGTCACTCAAAACACACAGACTTACTCAAACAGGTAACCGTTGACTGTAAAACAGAAACACCGGGACTTACTCAAACAGGTAAATGTAGACCGTAAAGCAGGGCTAGCAAATCAGCAGTTCACTCAAAACACACAGACTTACTCAACCAGGTAAACGTTGACTGTAAAACAGAAACACCGGGACTTACTCAAACAGGTAAATGTAGACAGTAAAACAGAAACACACAGACTTACTCAAACAGGTAAATGTAGACTTTAAAACAGGGCTAGAAAATCAGCAGTTCACTCAAAACACACAGACTTACTTAAACAGGTAAATGTAGACTGTAAAACAGGGCTAGAAAATCAGCAGTTCACTCAAAACACACAGACTTACTCAAACAGGTAAACTTTGACTGTAAAACAGAAACACCGGGACTTACTCAAACAGGTAAATGTAGACTGTAAAACAGAAACACACAGACTTACTCAAACAGGTAAATGGAGACTGTAAAACAGAAACACACAGACTTACTCAAATAGGTAAATGTAGACAGTAAAACAGAAACACACAGACTTACTCAAACAGGTAAATGGAGACTGTAAAACAGAAACACACAGACTTACTCAAATAGGTAAATGTAGACAGTAAAACAGAAACACACAGACTTACTCAAACAGGTAAATGGAGACTGTAAAACAGAAACACACAGACTTACTCAAATAGGTAAATGTAGACAGTAAAACAGAAACACACAGACTTACTCAAACAGGTAAATGTAGACCTTAAAACAGAAACACCGGGACTTACTCAAACAGGTAAACGTTGACTGTAAAACACGGCTAGCAAATCAGCAGTTCACTCAAAATACACAGACTTACTCAAACAGGTAAACGTTGACTGTAAAACAGGGCTAAAAAATCAGCAGGTCACTCAAAACACACAGACTTACTCAAACAGGCAAATGTAGACTGTAAAACAGGGCTAGCAAATCAGCAGTTCACTCAAAATACACAGACTTACTCAAACAGGTAAACGTTGACTGTAAAACACGGCTAGCAAATCAGCAGTTCACTCAAAATACACAGACTTACTCAAACAGGTAAACGTTGACTGTAAAACAGGGCTAGAAAAACAGCAGGTAACTCAAAACACACAGACTTACTCAAACAGGTAACCGTTGACTGTAAAACAGAAACACCGGGACTTACTCAAACAGGTAAATGTAGACAGTAAAACAGAAACACACAGACTTACTCAAACAGGTAAATGTAGACGGTAAAACAGGGCTAGCAAATCAGCAGTTCACTCAAAACACCCAGACTTACTCAAACAGGTAAATGTAGACCGTAAAACAGAAACCCCGGGACTTACTCAAACAGGTAAATGTAGACCGTAAAACATAAACACCGGGACTTACTCAAACAGGTAAATGTAGACAGTAAAACAGAAACACACAGACTTACTCAAACAGGTAAATGTAGACCGTAAAACATAAACACCGGGACTTACTCAAACAGGTAAATGTAGACTGTAAACCAGAAACACACAGACTTACTCAAACAGGTAAATGTAGACAGTAAAACAGAAACACACAGACTTACTCAAACAGGTAAATGTAGACAGTAAAACAGAAACACACAGACTTACTCAAACAGGTAAATGGAGACTGTAAAACAGAAACACACAGACTTACTCAAACAGGTAAATGTAGACTGTAAAACAGGGCTAATCAAGTAGAAAATATTTCTAGTGATTACCAGGTAAATATTTGAAATATTACAGTTCCGTTTTCAGCTGCACCCCTTTCTGCAGGACTTATTGATCCAAAACGGAAACTTCTTTTCTTGATGACCTAACTTGTGACTTCATTTGTAAAATTAAAAATTCAAGCTTAACCGGTATGGCTCATGGAAGAATTTAATAAGACACCCCCCTCCTTTACAAAAATGTATTAGGTATGTTGAACCTACAATCTTTAATCCTGAATTTTTGTATGATGTATAGGTGAACCAGATGTGTCCTGAGGCCAAACAGATGGCCCTACAGCATGTAATGGAGGACTACAGACAAAACATGGAATCCCTAGACCAGGAACTATCTGTGGAACGACAGAGACAGCTCAGCGACACACAGGTCAGACTCACTAAACTATTCTATCAACATGGATATCTATGTATTCATGTGTCAGTTTAAAGGAAGGAAAATTGTTTACATTGAGCTGTGTATTTTTCTGTTAATGCTATATACCAGTAAATCTTATGATCTTTTTTTTTTCAATGTTACCTGAGTCAGTTTTGATTTCCTTTTGTCCATTATCATTCACTCTGCGTCTTCCTGTAAACAAACCACATTTTTTACTTCTCCCCAGAAACTGTCAGATTTTGATGAAAATTATTTTTAAAAATCAAAACTGTTTGTAGTTGGGGGGGGGGGTGTTCACCTTCTAAAGAATAAAAACTACTCACAATTTAGCATGAAATTAAATAAAAAAGATATTCTCAAACTTTCATTTAGATTAGAAGAATAATTCTGTGTTTTAGGCTAAGTTAGAAGCCAGACGAGCCCGCCGATTGGCTGAGGCCCAGCGTCGCATGGAGGAGGAAGAAGCTCAGCGTATCATCTTGGAGCAAAACAGACAGATGAGGCAAGGCGGTGGTTTTGGTGATACAACTGTGCCCGACTCTGACCTCGCTCATGTACCCACAGTTAGCTACAGTGACTCTGTGGAGGAGAATGCCCTAAGAAAAGAACAGGTAGGGTTAATCTAACAGGTAGGGTCAATCTAACAGGTAGGGTCAATCTAACAGGTAGGGTCTATCTAACAGGTAGGGTTAATCTAACAGGTAGGGTCTATCTAACAGGTAGGGTTAATCTAACAGGTAGGGTCTATCTAACAGGTAGGGTCTATCTAACAGGTAGGGTCTATCTAACAGGTAGGGTCTATCTAACAGGTAGGGTCTATCTAACAGGTAAGGTCTATCTAACAGGTAGGGTCAATCTAACAGGTAGGGTATATCTAACAGGTAAGGTCAATCTAACAGGTAAGGTCAATCTAACAGGTAGGGTATATCTAACAGGTAGGGTTAATCTACCAGGTAGGGTTAATCTAACAGGTAGGGTCTATCTAACAGGTAGGGTCTATCTAACAGGTAGGGTCAATCTAACAGGTAGGGTCTATCTAACAGGTAGGGTTTATCTTACAGGTAGGGTCTATCTAACAGGTAGGGTTAATCTAACAGGTAGGTTCTATCTAACAGGTAGGGTCTATCTAATAGGTAGGGTCTATCTAACAGATAGGGTATATCTAACAGGTAAGGTCAATCTAACAGGTAAGGTCAATCTAACAGGTAGGGTATATTTAACAGGTAGGGTTAATCTACCAGGTAGGGTTAATCTAACAGGTAGGGTCTATCTAACAGGTAGGGTCAATCTAACAGGTAGGGTCTATCTAACAGGTAGGGTATATCTACCAGGTAAGGTCAATCTAACAGGTAGGGAATATCTAACAGGTAAGGTCAATCTAACAGGTAGGGTATATCTAACAGGGAAGGTCTATCTAACAGGTAGGGTCTATCTAACAGGGAGGGTCTATCTAACAGGTAGGGTCTATCTTACAGGTAGGGTCTATCTAACAGGTAGGGTTAATCTAACAGGTGGGGTCTATCTAACAGGTAGGGTCTATCTAACAGGTAGGGTCAATCTAACAGGTAGGGACAATATAACAGGTAGGGTCTATCTAACAGGTAGGGTTAATCTAACAGGTGGGGTCTATCTAACAGGTAGGGTCTATCTAACAGGGAGGGTCTATCTAACAGGTAGGGTCTATCTTACAGGTAGGGTCTATCTAACAGGCAGGGTTAATCTAACAGGTAGGGTCTATCTAACAGGTAGGGTATATCTACCAGGTAAGGTCAATCTAACAGGTAGGGAATATCTAACAGGTAAGGTCAATCTAACAGGTAGGGTATATCTAACAGGGAAGGTCTATCTAACAGGTAGGGTCTATCTAACAGGGAGGGTCTATCTAACAGGTAGGGTCTATCTTACAGGTAGGGTCTATCTAACAGGTAGGGATAATCTAACAGGTAGGGTCTATCTAACAGGTAGGGTCTATCTAACAGGTACGGTATATCTAACAGGTAAGGTCAATCTAAGAGGTAGGGAATATCTAACAGGTAAGGTCAATCTAACAGGTAGGGAATATCTAACAGGTAAGGTCAATCTAACAGGTAGGGAATATCTAACAGGTAAGGTCAATCTAACAGGTAGGGAATATCTAACAGGTAAGGTCAATCTAACAGGTAGGGAATATCTAACAGGTAAGGTCAATCTAACAGGTAGGGAATATCTAACAGGTAAGGTCAATCTAACAGGTAGGGAATATCTAACAGGTAAGGTCAATCTAACAGGTAGGGTATATCTAACAGGTAAGGGCAATCTAACAGGGAGGGTATATCTAACAGGTAGGGTCTATCTAACAGGTAGGGTCAATCTAACAGGTAGGGACAATATAACAGGTAGGGTCTATCTAACAGGTAGGGTTAATCTAACAGGTAGGGTCTATCTAACAGGTAGGGTATATCTAACAGGTAAGGTCAATCTAAGAGGTAGGGAATATCTAACAGGTAAGGTCAATCTAACAGGTAGGGTCTATCTGGTAGAAACAAACGTTATTTACAGCACTAGGCCTGATAGTAATTAATCTAACCATCATTTTAACTTCTCTGTATCAAATTACACACATACTATTTTTGGAGCTGAACCAAGAGGAAATTTGACTAAATTTTGCATGTATCATCTTTTGCAAGGGAACTAAATGTTGCATGAAGTTTTACAAGGGTTGTTGAAGAATGAAAAATAACAAATTAGGGTTCTTTATATTTGTTTGAATTCTTCTTTGAACGGATTGTTTTGAAATTGTCAGGAGAGAGCAAAGGAAGAATTGAAGAAACGTCACAAACAGGATAGAGAAAAGTTAGGTGAGAAAGTTGATTCTGAAGATGGTCACCAGGAGAGAGATGCAAGAAAGGAGCTGGACTCTGAAACAGAAAAAATACTGCGAGAGAAACGTGACAGGCAGGCTGCAGAATTGGCTGCTCGCACTGACCTATCTGATGACCAAATTAAGGCGGTAAGTTGAATTGAAATGAAGAATGTTCCTTGTAAATTTTCTGAAATTAAGCTTATATTTGATATTAAAATATTGCCAATATACTTAAAAACAGTTCATTGCTACGATTACCTTTATGTCTGATTTTCACATTACTGTTGAACAGATGATGGCCGCCCATGAACAAGAATTAGAAGACCTCCGGGAGAAACTGGAAAATGACCGGAATAGACAACTTCTTACCATGCGCGAGAGACTTAACAACCGTCGCCGACGAAAGATGGATGCACTAAGAAGGAAACAGGAAGTGGAATTAACCAAGGAGATGATAGAACAGAAGAAGGATCTGGACGATATCCACCTCAAACAGGCCAAGGGTGTGGAGCGTAAGGCCATAGAGGAGGGGATTAAACAGAACGGCGAGGAGGACAGCGACAAGGTTGTCCGGGCCGTTCTAGCAAACAGGCATGCACAGGTAAATATACAATACTGTAACAGGTGTGCAGGGGGGAGTACATCTAGCAGAACAGCAAACAAGACAGGAATAAGGTTGTCAAGTAATATTTTTGGAAAAGAAACGCATACTGGTAACTAAATAACATCGTAAGAGGAGAAAGGCAATGAAAATAATACACATAAATATGTAACACTGTAATTAAATTATCTTTATTTCCTTTAGGAAATGAGGGACTTGGAGAAGCAATACCAGACAGAAAAGAAGATGATGGTCGATGATGCCCTCAGTAAACTCCATGATAAGTACGACAAGTCTCGAGACGACATGTCCAAACGTCACCAAAATGAGCTGGCTCAGCTACAGGTAACTCACTTTTCCCTGTTATACCAGAACCTCTCTTACCTATAGGTAAATATCCTTTTTAATGAAAGCTTACATATAAAACACTTGTTATATTATGACTTGACTGGACCAGGTGAGATACTCTGTGTCTGTAATGTACCAGTGAATCCGTATAAAGGACCCAACAGGTGACATATCTCTGTATTTATGTCTACAGAAAATGGGTCTGAGCCCAGAGGAGCTCCAGTACCAGCGAACTCAGCTGCTCAACAAACAACAGATGGAGATGTCTGACCTGGAGAGGAAGCTGGCGGAGGAAGAGCGTGAGATAGAAAAGGGTGCGCTCAGCGACTGGGAGGTTCGCTATGCCCGTGCCCAACTCAACCTGAAGGAGAAACACTACAAGGTAAACCACACAAATCTTAAGTTTATGTAAAATTAGAATTATCTTCAGACACTCGATGTCAGTACAGTTCTCTAGGGGGGAAACAAAAACATGCATGCATGTTGGTATGTCTGTAAAAATTGTGACTTAGGTTGAAGTGAAAAGTTGCAGGAAATGATTAATCTGTTATTGCTATATTGCAGGAGTTTGCTGAAGCTTTGAAGCAATTTTCGCCCGACCATGATGCCATCAAGGATGCAGAGGCCTCGGTTGAGGAACTAGAAAAGATCAAGGAGGAGCTGAACTCTAAACGCAAGGAACACCAGGATCTTCTCAAGAAGGAGAAGCAAGGTAGGTAACTCTTGATATCCTACTAGCTATAATAAACACAGTGTCACAATCATCATGCACAGCTATACCAAATAAAGAGTGTTACAATCTTCCACAGTTAAGATTCAAATAATTTGGTTTACCTCCAAGTTTAAAGGATGGTATTGAAATGCAGCTCTCATTTTCATGTTGGTAAATGTCTCCTTTTACAGATTTTGAGAAGAGCGAACAACGCCGAATTGAAGCTGAAATGGGACATTTTGCCAAACAGCTAGAAGACGAAACAAAGAAAGAGAAAGAAAAATTTGAACGCAACATTGACACACTCAACAAACGCAAAGAGGATCTGATCAGGGAACGCAAACAGAAGATGAAGGTAAGTTATTTGTTTTAGCATTACATTACTGAGACCACGTTGCGCTTAAGTGTTCTTGCCTGATGTGTGGACAGATATTAGAACTTATGATGTACCTTATGACGCCGATGGAGTATATGTTGAATTTTGTGCTGATATTGAGAGTTATTAGAATGTTTGTGCTGATGCAAGAATGGATTATGTGACAAATATTTGATAGTTACAATATTTGGTGGTTAAAATGTGTCTTGTGCAGCACTAACAAGTTTCTGATGTTTACCTTTATATCCTGTGTACAGGAAGAGATAGACAAGCTGAAGCAGGAAGGTGGCAGTGAAGAGGAACAGCGTCGTCTCATAGAGCAACACGAGCGTGACCTCCAGAACATCCTCAACAAGATGGAGGGAGACAAGATGCGTCAGCAGAGTAATCTACAGGAGCGCCTCAAGAAGCGACGGGAACAGAGGATGAAGGCCAAAGAAGCTGAAATACGTGGCAACATGGATGACAGCAAACGTGACTTAGAACAACGCCAGCGGAGTGAGACCAACAGGATCAAGGCAGACGAGGTTGGAATATAATTTCAGTTCTTCAACAATGGAATAGTTATCATTGTGTCCGACTTCAATATTTTATGAAAAATTTCTATGATGATATGCTGTTAGCAGGAAATCATCAAACAAAAATATCTATTTGGCTGTAATTCTGTTTGAACTCTAACAGTTATGATTTTAACTTTGACTTTTAATTGAAATACAATGGTTATGTATTACAGGCACTCACGATCCAGGAGAGTATCAACATAGACCAGGCCGTGCCCATGACCCGCCCTAGTACTATGGGTAAGGCAGCCAGCAGGCCTTCCTCCCCCTTAGTGGAGCGTGAAGTGCCAGTAACCACAGCACCCATGCCTCAGTCCTTCCAAATGGCAGCTCCTCTGAACGAGGCAGAGCTCATGACTCTGCTGATGGCTTCACCAATGTACCAGAAACTGGAACAGATCAAGAAATCTGTAGCTGATGGTACCCACAAGTCACCCAAACACAAAATGGAGGAAGGTTGGTACATTCTCTATGGGAACTAGGTTATCAATATTTGTTTAGCACTGGACATATAGCTGACTTATTCATGCAGTTTCCATGGTGTCATTATTAAATTTCCATAATGAAAACTTTTAATGTGATTTTGTGATGCTTTAGATTACTTATTTGTGAGAATGTGTATTTGCATTTCACTCATGAATGTCTTGTGTGGTCAAGTTCTCCACGTGTACGAAATGTTTTCAGGTGAGGGTTACCAAGATGCTAAGGACGCAGAGTGGGGACAGGACGGAGAGCTCAAACCTGTTGACCTCAATACCCTCAACGCTCGTACCTTTATCGTGTACAAGTTTGGCTGCTTCATCACCGAGCTGGTGGCTTCACGGTGCCGTCATGCTCCAGTGACCATACTCCTGGCTGATAAGATTCCTTCCAACAAACACTTGTCACGCAACCCTTACAGAAACTCGTTCCACTACGATGCCAATAACAGAATCCTGTATGTGCGCACAGCCAGATTGGCAACAGTCGGTGACTTTGTGGTGGTGTTGGTCCACACACTGGCACACATCAGAGCAGGTAAAGATTACTAGTCACTTTCTTTGAAACACCCAATGTTCTTTAATTATTTTATTGTCATTGACCTTTAAAAGTGATGGATAGAGTACTATATCTCAGTGTTTTGTGATTTAGTCATTTTGTACGGAGCTTCACCTTTCAACATTGCTAAGTGTGAAAGTGTTGTTTATAACCCCAGCAGGAAGACGTATTTTGGTATGTGATGACCTCAATATGAGAGGTTTAGCTATCAATGTCTTTCCTATGTTTATAATCCGAGCAGGAAGACGTATTTTGGTATGTGATGACCTCAATATGAGAGGTTTAGCTATCAATGTCTTTCCTATGTTTATAACCCGAGCAGGAAGACGTATTTTGGTATGTGATGACCTCAATATGAGAGGTTTAGCTATCAATGTCTTTCCTATGTTTATAACCCGAGCAGGAAGACGTATTTTGGTGTGTGATGACCTCAATATGGGAGGTTTAGCTATCAATGTCTTTCCTATGTGTATTACTGATTCAAAATGAATTTATAGCCACAAAGCTACATCGAACAGGAACTGTCATGATTTCCTATAAAATATTTACTGTAACAGGTGATCTGAGAGATGACAACAACCCTGATTTTATACGGGAGTATCACCGTGCCCTAGCGGTCGTGTGTGACGATTTGTTCTTTGCTCGTTATCGCCGTTCCTCAACCCTGACCCAGGCTCTGGCCCACACCAACAGCGGTGTGAATGTAGAACAGGCTGCGATACAACTCCTCCAGGCTATGTTTGGCGACTGCCATACCGAGGATGAGAAAATCAATATGGTGGAAGACCTCTTGGATGTCAAGTTACTTCCCGGCACCAACATGGAGGGTGTCCACTTTAACAAGGCCAGGATTCAGGAGAGGTACGGAAAAACTATTGCCTTAAAACATATGTTTTCATTGAAAATTCCCTAAAGTAGAAGTCAGAATATCTTGATATCCTTGATAGTTTTCATTATTTTACATAGGTATAAATAAGTATGTAACAGTCAAAAGAAAGATAAAATAAACATGTAACAGTCAGGAGAAATGATTATTATGTTACAGAAAAACCTGTTAAATTTGAATTGTTGAACTGAAAATGTCAGTGTCAATTTTTTCCAAAAATCCTTGGAAAAAAATAAGAGAAAGAGATCCATCTATCGGGGATATGGAATTTCTACCCTCAAGTATAGAATTGCAGTACTATCCATATATGTACATATGATACAGTCTAGTGTCTTTGTCGAGTCATCTTTGATAACTCTTCATAGATTTTTTTTTTATATCCTGTTGGATTAGACAGGGTGTCAAAATACAGTTTTTTCCTGGAAAAATACCCCGAAGTTCAATAGGAACTAAAAGATAATTGCAATGTGGTTTAGTCAAAATATATTTTTCTTCCAAAACATCATGAGTAAAAATTGTCAATACAAAAAGTATTAATACTCTTCCACTTTTTCCCACAGATTGTCCAAGTATTCCAGCTTTTCATCAACAAGCAAGCTACAGAACATGCTCGGAAGCATGGAGGATAAAATCAAACAGTCCAAAGGTCAAGGGTCAAGTCGTGGTGTTGACCTCCAACTTGCTTCTCTCAGTCAGAGATATTCGACAGCTGGTAGGTTTTGTACTGCTTCTGTAAAGTTTAATGTACCACTGCAGACTTGCTGGCTGTTCATTAATCTGGCTCAAGTGTCTCAGTGGCTCAATCATTGAGGTGTTGGCTTTATTAGCCGAGGCCTGTAGACTCTTATTCTGTGACGGGTAATATATATTTTTCCTTTTATTCTTAGTGTTTTACGATATATAAAACAAGCTTTTGGAAAAGTTATGCCGCATAATGAATATATTTTTCTTTACACTTTAGGCAAAAGAATAACATAAAAATATAGAATTTTTCTGTGTGGTACACTATAATGTTTCTGTGTGGTACACTATAATGTTTCTGTGTGGTACACTATAATTTTTCTGTGTGGTACACTATAATGTTTCTGTGTGGTACACTATAATGTTTCTGTGTGGTACACTATAATGTTTCTGTGTGGTACACTATAATGTTTCTGTGTGGTACACTATAATGTTTCTGTGTGGTACACTATAATGTTTCTGTGTGGTACACTATAATGTTTCTGTGTGGTACACTATAATGTTTCTGTGTGGTACACTATAATGTTTCTGTGTGGTACACTATAATGTTTCTGTGTGGTACACTATAATGTTTCTGTGTGGTACACTATAATGTTTCTGTGTGGTACACTATAATGTTTCTGTGTGGTACACTATAAACATTATCTGGACCTGTAGCATTTGGTCTCAGTCAACAAACCAGCCTGATTTCTGCAGATAGTTGATCTTATAGAACAAAGAATGTCAGATTTATCAATGTGGTAGAACAAGGGCCATAAGAACTGTCAAAGCTGATATATGTCATATTTAGTGAGACCTTTTGGTGAACTTGCAAGTTTTTCTGCACATAAGGTTCTGAGGCCAATACATTTTATTCCATTTCTGGATTTGGGTTAGGTTTGTAGGCTTTGTCTGACATAAAGTCTAAAATTGGATTAACAATTAACACATCGTTTGTTAATTATACATTCATGTATAGTCATTCAGATGTACAGGTATGGTAGTACAGTGTATTTGTACTGAACACCTTACTTCCTAAAATTGTATGTTTTCCTTGCTACTTTGTACATTTTTGCTTATGTTTAATATACCAGGTACAACTGTGCTGACAAGATTACCTCCCTTCCGTTTCGTAACTGCTAACATGACTGGACAGGCCCTTTGGGACACTTTCGTCAACAGTCAGGACAACAAAGATGATGTCCCTGTTGAAACAGAACCAGTAACAAGGGACACACTTGTAAGTAGGACCAAGGGTAATTCATATTCACATAAACAGAACCAGTAACAAGGGATACACTGGTAAGTAGGACCAAGGGGAATTCATAATCACATAAACAGAACCAGTAACAAGGAATACACTGGTAAGTAGGACCAAGGGGAATTCATAATCACATAAACAGAACCAGTAACAAGGGATACACTGGTAAGTAGGACCAAGGGTAGTTCATAACCACATAAACGTACCCAGTAACAAGGGATACACTGGTAAGTAGGACCAAGGGTAATTCATAATCACATAAACGGAACCAGTAACAAGGGATACACTGGTAAGTAGGACCAAGGGTAATTCATAATCACATAAACGGACCCAGTAACAAGGGATACACTGGTAAGTAGGACCAAGGGTAATTCATAATCACATAAACGAACCCAGTAACAAGGAATACACTGGTAAGTAGGACCAAGGGTAATTCATAATCACATAAACGTACCCAGTAACAAGGGATACACTGGTAAGTAGGACCAAGGGTAATTCATAATCACATAAACGAACCCAGTAACAAGGAATACACTGGTAAGTAGGACCAAGGGTAATTCATAATCACATAAACGTACCCAGTAACAAGGGATACACTGGTAAGTAGGACCAAGGGTAATTCATAATCACATAAACGAACCCAGTAACAAGGAATACACTGGTAAGTAGGACCAAGGGTAATTCATAATCACATAAACGTACCCAGTAACAAGGGATACACTGGTAAGTAGGACCAAGGGTAATTCATAATCACATAAACGAACCCAGTAACAAGGAATACACTGGTAAGTAGGACCAAGGGTAATTCATAATCACATAAACGTACCCAGTAACAAGGGATACACTGGTAAGTAGGACCAAGGGTAATTCATAATCACATAAACGAACCCAGTAACAAGGAATACACTGGTAAGTAGGACCAAAGGTAACTCATAATCACATAAATGTTCCCAGTAACAAGGGACACACTGGTAAGTAGGACCAAGGGTTATTCATAATCACATAAACAGAACCAGTAACAAGGGATACACTGGTAAGTAGGACCAAGGGTAATTCATAGTCACATAAATGAACCCAGTAACAAGGAATACACTGGTAAGTAGAACAAAGGGTAATTCATAATCACATAAACAGAACCAGTAACAAGGAATACACTGGTAAGTAGGACCAAAGGTAATTCATAGTCACATAAACAGAACCAGTAACAAGGGACACACTGGTAAGTAGGACCAAGGTAATTCATAATCACATAAACGTACCGAGTCATATAAGATGTAAGTACATCAGGGGTAAATTCATAATCACATAAATGTTCCCAGTCATAAAGGGTGCAAGTACATCAGGGGTAAATTCATAATCACATAAATGTTCCCAGTCATAAAGGGTGCAAGTACATCAGGGGTAAATTCATAATCACATAAATGTTCCCAGTCATAAAGGGTGCAAGTACATCAGGGGTAAATTCATAATCACATAAATGTTCCCAGTCATAAAGGGTGCAAGTACATCAGGGGTAAATTCATAATCACATAAATGTTCCCAGTAACAAGGGACACACTGGTAAGTAGGACCAAGGGTTATTCATAATCACATAAACAGAACCAGTAACAAGGGATACACTGGTAAGTAGGACCAATGGTAATTCATAGTCACATAAACATTCCCAGTAACAAGGGATACACTGGTAAGTAGAACCAAGGGTAATTCATAATCACATAAACGTACCGAGTCATAAAAGATGTAAGTACATCAGGGGTAAATTCATAATCACATAAATGTTCCCAGTCATAAAGGGTGCAAGTACATCAGGGGTAAATTCATAATCACATAAATGTTCCCAATCATAAAGGATGTAAGTACATCAGGGGTAAATTCATAATCACATAAACGTTCCCAGTCATAAAGGGTAGGTATATGCAGAGTAATTCATAACACATAAACGTATCAAGTCACAGATGATATACTGCAGATACACCAAAGGTAAATTAAATCACATAAACATATTAGTCAAAGAGAAGATGTCAGTAATAATAAAAGAATTGAATTGCCTAGATTACATAGCAGGAAAAACGGTGCATCAAAAAAACATGATAATAACCGAAAAGTGACATTAACAGACGTGATATTAGGTGAAATGTACTGTATGAGGACTATTTTAGAAATACAATATGTAACATATTCTTACACCTCTCTTACAGGAGACACTGCAGGACAAATATGACAGCTTATGTGCAGACTTTTCGACGGTTTCTCATGAACTGGTTGACCTTCAGGAAGATGTGAAGGTCATGGAGGAGGAACAATCCGGTAGACCAAAGTCTGCAATGGCTAAATCAGGAGAGAGTTTGTCAGACAAGAAATCACAAGTGATGAAATTGGAGATGGAGAAAAACAAACTCAATGACCAGATGAAAGCCTGTACGAGAGACATCGAACAAAGGAAGTGCGGCCCTTCTCCACACCAGGCTGTGGCTGTGAAATTCACTGACGACCAACAGACAAAATCAAAAAAGAAAAAGTAGAGACATTATCGGAAACATGTGACACAGAAATGTGAAACATCAGAGACAAACTTCAAGGACAGACACAGAAATGTGACTCCATATAGACAAACCCCACGGACATGACTGCAATGTATTTATCTCCACTTACGTTGTTATTGTTATTATGCTGAACAAGAATGAGAATTAATATGTATAAGTTATATTATATAAAAAGAAAAGACTATTTATATGTTATTTTATGTTTATATTTTTTATTAAACAGTTGTGTATGTATATTTTGTCAATTTTAACATTTTTCATTATATATCCATAGATATACACTTTACTACTCACAAGTATTTTTCCCATACCGTCCACAATGATTATCTCAAAAATCAAAGATGTACATAATGTATCTTGGTCAGAAATGGTTGTTCTGCCTTGTTAAGTATGAATCAAAATATCAATTATTATTACAAAATGTATATGCTAAATAATGGACCTTACAAGTTGTGACTACACTGCTTCAGCTGTGTAACTGCAGGATTTTAATTAGAGTTAATATGTCCTAGAATACCATAGAAATGCTGACCTTAAATATCAAACTAGGTAATGATTAATTTAACTTTAGTTTAATTTACTGCTAAAATGATTATTTTTCATATATTACTAATTATTAGACACCTCATTTATTGATGAGAAGAAAATTTGTAGATAATTAACACATTTATTTCTTAATTGAATTTTTTTCTGTAACAGCATTCCATTGTCTTTGTAACTATGGTTACCTGATTTAATTGACCATTCCAGTGTTAGTGGTTAGGAGAGAAGCAATCTGTGATAAGATATACCTAAGACAATAATTTCTACCGTATTAATTAGAAATTTTAAATTTTCTACAATTTTATACCTATTTGTATTTCCTCTTAGTACCTAAAGGTTAAGATATACAAATATATTTGTAAATAGAACAATGTGACTATGTACTCAAATACAATATGCAAATGTATACAATCGTTATAGGTATGTATCCCCCTAAATTGTTCAGTATTTTTTGCCATTTTTGTATTCAATTAAAATTTAAATTTATAATTTATTTCTCCTTCCAAATTGTCGTGTATGAAATACAGAAACAAAAGTAACTATATTTTGTGTATAAAGTTTTTGTCCTACATGTTGATTAATGTTTATACTTTATACATTAATTAGAGAGTCCCAATACTCTGGTTCAATCTCCAACGACGAATAGCATTTTCTGACATTGCTTTCCCAATTTACTACTACAACTACGAAACACATATTTTATAATAAGGTTCTTTTTCACCAAAGCATCTCTGTCATTGTCTTTGGTTCCTCGACTTGTCCACTGTGCTACCAGTCTTCATTGACATTTGATTCCTCGACTTGTCCACTGTGCTACCAGTCTTCAAATTTGTTGTTACTTCTTTCCTGCAACATTATTGAGAACAACTTTAAAATTTCATAACCCTTTTACTTTAGGTTATCAATTATCATAATCTAAATATACAGTAAATAATTTATAGGTTCGGGGGAATATAATATTTTGAAGGCCTGTATACAGAAGAAAAGTTGTGGGACTCTCTGCCTTAACTGTAAATCCGTCCAAACTTATATATACTGTTAAATTTAGGATTGAAATATTCTTAATGTGTTGTCAATTACATTCCAAACTGCCCTGTTATATAACTACATTTCAAACTGCCCTGTTATATAACTGAACGAGTAAGAAGAAAATTTGTTTTGGACAAGAATTTTACATTGATTATATACATACAAGCTTTTCTACCTTTATCATATAGACATTGGTTAATTCCGTCCATTTTATACATAAAATTATGTTTGATTCCTAGATGGAGATTTAAATTTTAAGCATACCATGTTTGATGAAGGGTGGGGCGGGGGGGGTCTCCGGGGATAACACAGAGGGATAAACTTACGTTAAATATGAGTTAGTTACTGTGTACATGTACATCCTTGGTGGATTCTGTTTCTCGTTTGCACCTGTTAAATTGTCCTTTCCAGGTCATTATTTTTGCTTACAAGCCATGTAATTATTTACTCTTGCTTCTTCTCCCACTAACTGTGCAATATAAAATATGTGCAAACTATGGAACATTACACTTAAGGCTGCTTTGGGACAAACTGATTCCCCCACCGGCAACATCCAACAAAATTTGATTCCAAAATCAAATCATAAAAGTATATCATTACTGAAATTAGCATCAAAAATCACACCCACCGAGCATAATTAAAGATAAGATAATATGAATGCAATAAAGATTTATTATTAATTTACAGTTATATAATTATTCCTTGGAATTTATTGGCCGTGTGATCTTAACATTCCAGAGATCCCTTTAGTGTGTTGTTCCAAACTAAGCCTGTTGTATTCTGAAGTATTCTGACCGCTCACACTTGTGTGTGCACCGTTACCTTACATGTTACTTTACACAGGCACAAACTCATATCAACATCTAACATTCTATTGTTGATGTTAGCTTAAAACAGTTCACCTTGTTGCATATATTAATTAGATTCATGAAAATAAATATTTTTAAATCAATTATAATGTGTTGTTTTATTTGATCCAAGACAAGCAGAGCCAATACCATGGTATGTGTTTATTCTCTCTACCATACAGACCGACCAAGTATACAATATGTACTTGCATAACGTCTTCACTAGGGTCTTGGGTATAGCTTGTACATATGTAGTTGATATTTTGAATAACTGCTTTCTTAAACATTTAGTTATATTGCTACTCCTGTACGGGGTTCCGGTGAATGTGACTGGGTAGCCCACCTGGTGGATTTCATATGTCTTGATTCGAATAGAAGAAAACAACACTCATTCAAAATGGCTTCAGCCTACCATATGTGGCAGCCATTCTGTTGACATATTACCCTGATTAATGTAGCTGACATTGAAAAGAAACATGTTTCAACTAGAAAATGTTTATAAAAAATACTACTGCTTTGATGGAAATGGAGTTTACAAAAGAAATGAAGCTAGTTGCAAAGCTTAACCAAAGTCAGTGGACTGACCTACTTTTGATTGGTTGGTATGGTACTCATCAACACGTATCCATAGAAGTTACCGGACTGTTAGACTTCTAACCGTACTGTTAGACTTCTAACCGGACTAGCAAAAATTCAAAGTCTAGCTCATATGAATGCATGAACAGAGGAGGCAAGCTGTTCATACCCCTTACACTATGCTGTGGGGACATGAGCTCCCTAATCCCTTTATAAAATTGTCTGTGTTTTGCCATAGGCCAGTAGGTGAACACTCCAAGGTTGACTTGGCTAGGAAAGGTCAAAGGTCAAATTCTTTTCGCAGAAAAAAACCAACTATACATGCAAGCAACATGGGCAGACGACAGCTGAATAGGCAAGTAGAGTCTGCAATGCCAAGTAGAGTCTACAATGGCAAGTAGAGTCTGCAATGGCAAGAAGAGTCTCCAATGGCAAGTAGAGTATGCAATGGCAAGTAGAATCTGCAAGGGCAAGTAGAGTCTGCCATGCCAAGTAGAGTCTACAAAGGCAAGTAGAGGCTGCAATGGCAAGTAGAATCTGCAAGGGCAAGTAGAGTCTGGAATGGCAAGTAGAGACGGCAATGGCAAGTAGAGCCTGCAATGGCAAGTAGAGCCTGCAATGGCAAGTACAGTGTCCAATGGCAAGTAGAGTCTGCAATGGCAAGTAGAGTCTGCAATGGCAAGTAGAGTTTCCAATGGCAAGTAGAGTCTGCAATGGCAAGTAGAGTCTACAATGGCAAGGAGAGTCTGCAATGGCAAGCAGAGTCTCCAATGGCAAGTAGAGGCTACAAAGGCAAGTAGAGTCGGCAATGGCAAGTAGAGTCTGGAATGGCAAGTAGAGATAGCAATGGCAAGTAGAATCCGCAATGGCAAGTAGAGTCCACAATGGCAAGTAGAGATAGCAATGGCAAGTAGAGTCTGCAATGGCAAGTAGAGTCTGCAATGGCAAGAAGAGTTTCCAATGGCAAGTAGAGTCTGCAATGGCAAGTAGAATCTGCAATGGCAAGTAGAGTCTGCAATGGCAAGTAGAGTCTGCAATGGCAAGTAGAGTCTGCAATGGCAAGTAGAGTCTGCAATGGCAAGTAGAGTCTGCAATGGCAAGTAGAGTCTGCAATGGCAAGTAGAGTCTGCAATGGCAAGTAGAGTCTGCAATGGCAAGTAGAGTCTGCAATGGCAAGTAGAGTCTGCAAAGGCAAGTAGAGTCTGCAATGGCAAGTAGAGTCTGCAATGGCAAGTAGAGTCTGCAATGGCAAGTAGAGTCTGCAATGGCAAGTAGAGTCTGCAATGGCAAGTAGAGTCTGCAATGGCAAGTAGAGTCTGCAATGGCAAGTAGAGTCTGCAATGGCAAGTAGAGTCTGCAATGGCAAGTAGAGTCTGCAATGGCAAGTAGAGTCTGCAATGGCAAGTAGAGTCTGCAATGGCAAGTAGAGTCTGCAATGGCAAGTAGAGTCTGCAATGGCAAGTAGAGTCTGCAATGGCAAGTAGAGTCTACAATGGCAAGTAGAGTCTGCAATGGCAAGTAGAGTCTGCAATGGCAAGTAGAGTCTACAATGGCAAGTAGAGTCTACAATGGCAAGTAGAGTCTGCAATAGCAAGTAGAGTCTGCAATGACAAGTAGAGTCTACAATGGCAAGTAGAGTCTACAATAGCAAGTAGAGTCTACAATGGCAAGTAGAGTCTGCAATAGCAAGTAGAGTCTGCAATGGCAAGTAGAGTCTACAATGGCAAGTAGAGTCTACAATAGCAAGTAGAGTCTGCAATGGCAAGTAGAGTCTACAATAGCAAGTAGAGTCTGCAATAGCAAGTAGAGTCTACAATGGCAAGCAAAATCTGCACAAAAGACAAAACCTTTATATCTAAAGGACAAATGACAGCTAAACAGGAAAAAATAACTCAACACAATCAGGAGGAAATGTAAGAAATAATCTCAGAGAAGGTAAGAACAATCACTGGAGGTGGTAGGGAAGATGATGTGTGCTTCAACTATACAATATTATAGTATGGGATATTTTGACTTAGGATTCCAAAGCAGAAAAAGAGGCCCAATGGGCTGAATTGTTCACCTGGTATTAATCTCCCAACAGTAACCTTTAAAGTGGACAAAGGGTAAGTATAATTCACTGGGCTTAATCAAAAGCAACAGGCCAAATATCACCATCATGTGCCTTTTGGTTAGTAAGAAGTTTTTTATAACATTTGATGCCTGTGACCTTGAAAGTTGATGAAATTCATTTATTTGAACAAACTTTATAGCCTTTCTCCCAAGCAAGGTACTGGCTTCCTCTGAATAACCAAAATGGCTAGGGTGGTGATATTTAGCCAGTAGCATGTTTGGATGGAAGACTACAAAGTTTTTTCAAATGAATCACCTTCACCAATATTCAAGGTCAAGGGGGTCAATTCTAAATAACATAAATGGACCAGTGTAATGATATTTGGTGGGCAACATGCTAGGATGAAGGGCTATCAAGTTTATTTCACTCAAATCAAATATGTTAAAAACGTTTATCAACTTTTGAATAACCAAAATGTCCAGGGAAATGGTATTCGGCCAGTAGCTTGATTGGATGAAGGGTTACCAAAATTGTTCAAATGAATAACTTTCACCCATATTTAAGGTCACAGGTGCCAATTGTCTTAAAAAATCAAAAGACCAAGGGTGATGATATTTGGCCAGAAGCATGCAGGGCTAAAGAGCTATCAAGTTTGTTCAAATGAATGACCTTGACTCAAATTAAACGACTTCATCTGAAGAATTGAATGATCCAAAGTCATGATAATAGACTGGAGCCCAACAAAATGTTCAAATAAAAAAAATACCTTGAGCTATGTGTATTTCATAAACTTAAAACGACTTCTTCTGAAAGATGAAAAGGCATAGAGGCATTATATTAGGCTGGTAGCTTTTGGGGAAAAATTACCTTGACCTATTCAAGGAAATGATGGTGAAATATTTTATAAACTTACAACCACTTCTTTTAAAGAATGGAAAGTTCCAAAGTCATGATGATTGGCTGATAAATTTCTGGAATGGAGCCCAACGAAATTACAAATAAAAATTACCTTGAGCTACATTCAAGGTCATAGGGGTCAAATATTTCAAGAATTTCAAACGACTTCTTCTGAAAAATGGAAAAGTCTAGAGTCATCATATTTGGAAAGTAGCATGCTGGGATGAAGGGGCTATCACATTTGGACAGTAGCATGCTGGGATGAAGGGCTATCACATTTGTCCAAATGAATTGACATACACCTATATATATACAAGACCATCAATTGGGGTCAATTTTGTCAAAACTTTACTTAATATTTTCTTTTGAAGACCTGAAAGTCCTAGAGTCATGATGCCAGGTCTGTTGCTTTCTTGTATGCCTAAGTATTTCAGGTCTTAGGGATTCAATTAACAAAAAACTTCCAACCACTTCTGAACCAAAAAGTCAAAGGTGATGACATTTCCCCCATGTATAGCATATAGAATTACATATGTTCAAATGAATGACCTTTTCCTGAATTAAACAATGTCACAGCAGACAAAGATGTTGTAAAACAGCTTCTTTTGAATCTTTATTTGACTTTCAAATATTTGATAAGATAGTACTGTTAGCTATATATGGATATCATTGTTCTTACATAAAAGTCTTGCTCCAGTCGGAGCTTTTTTTGTATTTAATCAGGAAGGTAGCCAATCGAATCAAGCACATTTACAAAATTTACAAAATTGCAGTTGACCACTGTTCTATATAGCTATATATACAATTGCTCTCAAAATACTAAAGATGCTATGGTGCATGTATCTTGAAAACGGACGTAATGGGCACAGCTATTGCGGTCGTGCAAAGTCCAAATCTGGCAACAACCCGTCGCTTTTCTCAGTCGCAAACTCCTCCGAGATAAACGATCTATTCAGCAACGAGAACCATATTATTATGTTCGGTATTGAAAAAAACAACGTTATTCGTAAATAGTTAATATTACAGAATCTGGTTGTGGATATTAAGGCAGTTAGGGACCCTAACACTACATTTGGGACTGTTCTATTGGACAACGACCCTGCTCTTAACCCGCTTGTTAGAGTATCCCCGATAGAAGTGGATATGTATAATTGTTGAGCATCCCTCTTTAATATTGTGTATTTGAGGCCTGGTAGGCTTGGTAGGCAAAGTTTACACAGTCGTTCACTATAGGAGTAGCCAATTAGAAAAGGTAAACGTCTTGTTGCTATACGTTATTATTATTATTATTATTTCCTTTATTTCCTCCAGAAATGAAGAGTTACAGAAATAACGAACAATACACGTACCATATGCAAAAGATATATATCAGATTTGAACGCGCCAAACTTTCAAATAGATGGACGAAGCTGTTTTTGTTATTGGTTTTTATGGGGAGAAATTAGTCATGGGACTCAGTTTGATTTGAAAAAACACACGCAAACATGTAAGTCTATGCTAGGTTTGACTTAGTCCGAATTGTTCTGACGTTTTATCGATTTTTTTTATATCGGTCTGTCGTCGATTAAAAAGTCGATAAAACGTCAGGATAATTCGGACTTTACAAGCCGCCATCTTGTGGTGTAAGATGATCACCCTTCGACGAGTTATAAAACGAATTGACATGGACGTGGCTAGTTGAGTCATGTGCTGGTCCGACTATGGCCATACATTGAAATATATTAGGCACTGTTGACAAGCCATTTTTGTGAGTATTTTTCTTGTTCTCTTGGAATGTGTCATTGGGAAATCGCAGGCTCTGTACATGTGCGCGTCGCCTAGTAGATGAAACAAGTGTGATACTTGTACCGCAAAAGAATTGCGCTGGTGCGTAATGGTAAAATTGATCGGCTTTAGAATCGAGAGTAGCTCCAAAGTCTGTCTGTCTGTCTGTCTGTAACGGCCTAGCGATTGGTGAGGGATATTTCTTTACCCGAAACCACTCATACAGCTCATCGCGTGCCGTCGATTTCATCATGACATATTCCAGGGTGCAGAGAACGTACATTTAAGTAAGTTAACTAGTTAGCTAGGCCGACTGGAATTTCGAGGACGCACAAACACTCTCAAAGAAGTTGTGCAGTCTTTGATGTTACTTTGCCTACGAATTGTGGACTTCCAGAGTGTTCTGTTGGTTTCCAATGTCAGGTACTTGTTAAATTTGTATGGCTGATTAGTTTCGGAGCTTAGTGTGTGTCTTTTTCCACGGGGATCTGCAAATTTATTATAGCTATATTTGTTCATAGAATCAACCCCTAAAACGTATAAAATTACGCTGAACACCTTAGTTTGGTACAATATTATAGCTGTAACTAATTATCAGTTCCCTGTGGTTGTGATGCTAGTTAACACTTCGACGGTCCCTTATCATATATTCAGTTCAATAATTGTATTGCTCATTTATAGTTACAGAGTAACTTGAAGACAAATAACAAAACAACAAATATACAAAGAAATATATAGAGATTAGAGAATAGGCGCTGACAGAGTTACATTGCCCTAGTAGTCGCTACCACCGATACAATTCCGAGAAGAGGGTCAAGGCCAACTTGACAACTGAACGTATTCCTGTTGAGACAAACGCCGTGACCTTCAGTGGTGTACATTATCCTTAATATATTTTACTGTGACATCGCAGAGTTCATCAATGTCATGTTTATCCAAAAGGACTTGGTCCAAGCGTCATATAAAGCTTGTGTGGTGCAAGTTCATTTTCCTACGTGGACAAACCAGCGGGAATAAGTATCTAATAAAATCTTCGCGCTTGATAAATAATTGCATATAAAGGTCAGTTTTTAACTTGGTATTCTGTTTAATTCATTTAGCCATGCAATAATATTACTTCAAATTATATAGTCGACGTCGGTTAAGTACTGAAATAGAAATGGAATACTGTGGGCTTTTAAATAAAGGATGTAATATCCAAAGCACGTGTCGGTTATAATTTTGTTTGTTTTTCGCTCTCTGTGTTCACCGCCACAGACAAACATTTAGAACAAGAGGCCCAATGGGCCTGCATCGCTCACCTGGTATTAATCTCACACTTGTAATCTTAAATGTTGACTAAAATACAGCTACAGGCAGAATATCAGTGTTTGGTTCATAAGAACCTATTAAAAGATTTAAATATATGATGCCTGTGACCTTGAATGTCGAACAAGGACATTAGGTTGAACAGAGTTTTTAGTCTTCCAACCCAGCATGCTTCTGGCAAAATATCATTACCCTAAACCTTTTGGTTATACAGAACAAATCATTTAAAGATTTAAATATCTATTCACCACTGTGACCTTGAATAGGGTGAAGGTCATTCACTTGGTAGTCCTTCATCCCAGCATGTTAATGGCCAAATATCATCACTCTTGGCCTTTGCTTATTAAGAAGAAGTCATTGGTTTTAAACATATTTGACCCCTGTGACCTTGAATATATATGTCAAGGTCATTCATTTGAACAAACTTGGTAGTCCTTCATCCCAGCATGTTACTGGCATTATATTAGGCCTCTTGGTTATTCAGAAGAAGTTGTTTAAAGGTTAAAAACATATTTGACCCCTGTGACCTTGAAAAAAGATGAAGGTCATTCATTTGAACAAACTTGGTAGCCCTTCATC